TTCAACTAAAGGAAGGCCTAATGCCCAGTTGTCCCGTCTGTGACCAGGGCTCCCCCGCCTCGGGAAACCAGTTTCTCCTGGCAGATGCCCTGTGGCCCATGTTCAGGTTACGCCTGCCTGACCATCACCCTGGCCCTGGGAGCCAGCCTTCTTCCTGGCTTCCCCAGGAGAACCCCGCCTGGGGCAGACCCTGGTTCTTCAGATGCAAGCCGCAAATTCAGACACCACCACTGTGGGAAACAAGGTCAAAGACATGTACAGACCCTGGGCAGGGAAGGCGCTGTGGGTCGGGAGGGCAGCCCTCCATCCCTTGGTCTCCCGAGGCAGGAACAAAAAGTCAGGCAGAGAGAGCCCCCGTGGCAGCTGGCAGTGTATTCACAGGAGAAAGTTTAAAGGATGCAGTGGGAACAGTGGGGAGGCCAGTCTGCTAGACAGAAGAGACACTTCCAAAGTTTTCCCCTCTGCCCACCAGCTTGAGGCATTTGGGGGTGTGAGGAGCTTGAAGCCATTCAGAAGGAAGTGGCGGAGATGCTAATGCCCAGGGCAGCCTTTGCTGTGTTGCTCCAGAGATGTCTCGGGTTCGGTACGGATGCCGGGCGTTGCGGCACCGCAGAGACCTCTCGGTTTCGGTACCGATGCCGGGCGTTACGGCACCGCAGAGACCTCTCGGGTTCGGTACCGATGCCGGGCGTTACGGCACCGCAGAGACCTCTCGGGTTCGGTACCGATGCCGGGCGTTACGGCACCGCAGAGACCTCGGGTTCGGTACCAGCGCTAGAGGTGTTCACGCTTGTTTACGGAGGGTAAGACTGAGATGAGAACTACCCAGGCAATGTCCTCTTCTGTGTGCTTGTATTGTATCCCCTTAAAGACTGCCGCTGTGGTAACTTGTCCTTCCCTCCTAACTCTGGTTCCATCCCTGGTAACTTGTGCACCTCATGTTTAAGTCTTTCTTGAAGATGATGCTAAGGATCATGCACAGTGGCTCATGCCTGAAATCCCAGCTCTTTGGGAGGCTGAGGCTGGAGGATTGCTTGAGGCCAGGAGTTGGAGACCAGCCTGAGCAACACAGGGAGACTCCATCTCGATAAAAGCTTTTAAAATTAGCCAGGTGTGGTGGTGTGTGCCTGTAGTCCCAGCTGCTCAGGAGGCTGGGGTAGGAGGATCAGTTGAGCCCGGGAGGTGATGGCTGCAATGAGCCATGATTACCTCAGCACTGCAGCCCGGGTGACTGAGTGAGACCTTATCAAAACAAGGAAAAAAAAAAAAAAAAAAAGATTGCATGACCAGATTGCGAGATGAGCTGTTAAAAATGTGTTATTTCCAACTTCCTGATGTGCAGAAGCAACTCAAAATACAAGTATATAGGAATAAGTTGGCTGCTGGTTAATTGTTGACTGTATTTCTCCTACTTCCTTGATTTCAAGATTTTGTTTTTATTGCCTCTCTATTGGGCATCAGCTTACATCAGTGCGATAAATCTCCTTCTGGAGTTTATGTCAATGCCTCATTTCTGTGTGTGTGTGATGTACTTGGATTCCCTTGCAGGCCAGGCATGGTGGCTCACACCTGTAATCCCAGAACTTTGGGAGGCCACGACGGGTGAATCACCTCAGGTTATGAGTTCGAGACCAGCCTGGCCAACATGGTGAAACCCCATCTCTACTAAAAAATACAAAAGTTAGCTGGGCATGATGGCGCTTATAACTACCCAGGAGGCTGAGGCAGGAGAATCAAACCCAGGAGGCGGAGGTTGCAGTGAGCCAAGATCGAGCCATTGCGCCCCAGTCTGGGTGACAGAGCAAGACTCTGTCTCCAAAAAGAAAAAAAAGATGTTACTTGCAAAAAAAAAAGTGGGGTGTTCCGCTACAAACCAAAAATGAAAATAATGATCATCATATTTCCTTTTTCTAGGTACTATTTCTTGATCATCCAAAAAAGAAGATTCGGGACACACAGAAGTATAAACCTTTCAAGAGTCAAGTAAAGGTACTTAAAATGAGGGTGACTCAAGATACTGTGTTTCTGTTTTGCTGGCGACTTTACTGTCGTTTCTGGTCACTGGTGGCTGACTTACTGGTTAAAGGGCTTTTGTTGTTCCTTTTAACCTTTAAAACTAGAAGGAATCTTAAAAAATAGAGTTTTGCAGGCCGGGCGCGGTGGCTCAAGCCTGTAATCCCAGCACTTTGGGAGGCTGAGGCGGGTGGATCACGAGGTCAAGAGATCAAGACCATCCTGGTCAACATGGTGAAACCCCGTCTCTACTAAAAACTACAAAAAATTAGCTGGGCATGGTGGCACATGCCTGTAATCCCAGCTACTCAGGAGGCTGAGGCAGGAGAATTGCCTGAACCCAGGAGGCGGAGGTTGCGGTGAGCCGAGATGGCGCCATGGCACTCCAGCCTGGGTAACATGAGTGAAACTCCGTCTAAAAAAAAAAAAAAAAATAGTTTTGCTAGTTACTGGCCTTAAAAATGATTGCAGTGGAGGGTGAGTTATTTCCACTCTAACCTCTGAAACAGGGCCACCGACTGAGGAGTGTCTGCTCCAGATGGTGCCAAGAGCGGAGCCATCCTTTTTTTTTTTTTTTTTTTTTTTGAGACGGGGTCTTGCTCTGTCACCCACGCTGGAGGAGTGCAATGGCACGATCTCAGCTCACTGTAACCACTGCCTCCCAGGCTCAAGCAGTCCTCCCACCTTGGCCTCCCAAGTGTCTCAGACTACAGGCATATGCCACTACCCCTGGCTAATTTTTATATTTTTTTGTAGAGATAGGGTCGTGCTGTGTTGCCCTGGCTGGTCTCAAACTCCTGGCTCAAGTGATTCTCCCCTGGCCCGCTCCCTTTATTGGCTGATAGGGGTATATCACCAGCCCATCATGCTAAAAAAGAGGTTGCAGCTTGTAGCTGCCACCCTAAGTGTCATGAGCGCCTCTGCTGAGAAGCAAACTGTAGGTCACTTGGGTGGGGGTTCAGTAGCCAACCCCTCCCTGGTTGGTGGGGTGACCCTGTGTGGGCAGAGACTGCAGAGACCCCCACACGCCTCCTCCCCCTTTGCAGAGTGGAAGGCCGTCTCTGAGACTACTTTCAGAGAAGATCCTTGGGATCCGGATCCAGCAGGCGGAGCACTGTTCGGTGAGTGTGTCCTGGGGAGTCCTCGGGGTTTGGGGCCATTTCTCACCTGGAACCAGGTGCGAGCCACCTGACGCAGACATGGGGGAGGTGGGGCCTGGGCACATACTTTTCCTACAAGGCTATTGGTCCCCAAAAAAATTGGCAGAGCAGAGATGGATTTTTGATCAAATTCTGAATGTGCACATTTAACGAATTAACACTTAACACAAAAGAACTACCACATTCTCGTTATTTGGAGAAAAAGTCGCCACATAATTACAAGGCTCCCCCGACCCTGACCCCGACCCCATCCTGCCCTGACTAGTCCTGCCAGCAGCTGGCTCTGCCGCGGTGGAGCAGTCGCCACCTGCAGCGTGGCCTCAGCCTTTGGACCCTTTTTGCCTGTCTGCTTGGTCCTTGTGCCCCTGTGCCCAGCACCGAGCCTGCCATCACCCTGCATTCAGAAACCTAAAAAGGCAGCGTGTTTGTTGCTTCTCCTCTTGGGGTTTCCCTTTCTTCTGGGAGGAGCGTCTGAGTCACAGAAGTGTGGAGACCATCAGGTCATTGCTCTCTCTGCTGCCTGCGTGTCCTCCCTCCCCATCCTGGTGACATCTGGCAGCCAGGTCCATGTCTCACTCAGCACCTCCCTAGCAGAGTGGCTGGGCTTGGTCATTGCAGAGCTGACTGTGGCTGTGCCTTGTCACCTGCTGGGATGTTTTCTTGTCTAGATTCAGGATGCCCAGGCAGCAATGAGACTGTACATCATGGTGAAGAAGGAGTGGGAGAGCATGGCCCGAGACAGGCATCCCCTGCTGACTGCTCCAGACCACTGCAGTGACGACGCCTAGCAGCCCTGCCCTCTGCTGCTTCCGCCCTCCTACAGAGGCAGTGTGACCAGTCACAGGGACGGATCACATCTCCCCAGAGTGGCAACTTCAGAATCATGGCAGAGGGGCGTGGTGTGGGTGCTGCTGAGAGCATACTCCTCCCTCTTGACTTTGTGGTCTGAGACCTGGTCTTACTGTCCATGTGTGTTTGGGGCCAGATGGTAGAAGCCAGGATGTGGGCCGCAGGGACTGCTGTGGGCACACCTGGCCACCCTTTACTGACTGCTGACCCCAAGGGCGAGGCAGGGATGGGACGTGTGGGCCGCCAGCCTGTATTATGCTGGCACCACGCATCTTTGGTGACTCATCCCGGGTGCTCAGCACCTTCCTCTTGGGGAGCCACATTTCCTCCTTTGTCTTAGGGGACGTAACGAGATCTGCCGGACTTGAGGAAGCCAGCGCAGGTGTCTGCAGTCAGCTCCTGAGATACAGCTGGCCAGTACAGCAGTTGTCACATCAGGGGTGTCCTGTGGCCATTTGAACTTTGAGCCTTTGTCTAAATTGGCCCAGGGTTGGCTGGCAGGTCACCCAGCAGAGGTTTCTCCCCATGGCACAAGGACATGCGGCTCCATCGCCGGGGCACGGTGACCATGGTTGTTCTTGGAGGCCAGCAGATACCCTGACTGTGGGCTGTTTCAGCTGGAGAAGCTAGGTGGCGCAGCCGGTGGCTTTCTTGGCTAGGCTCCAGTTAGAGGCTCCCCAGGAACTAGAGTCAGGAACAACCAGTGGCACTGACAAGGAGATGGAGTCCAAGGCATTACTGGGGCACCTGACAGCAGGACAGAAAAGGTGCAGACACGCCGTGGATGTAATTTAAAATAAACGCAGATGTTTACTTTGAATGGAGCCTGTGGAGACTCAGTGTCATCTGTCATCTAGAATGGTCTGGAAAGACTGCTGTGTCCGGACTGCTGCCCCCTGACCCAGCCAGGGGTGAGGGTTACAGAGACTGCAGAATTAAGTACGCCACTGGCCAGTCACAGACTTTTGCCAGAGATGATTACTGTGGAAACTGGCCTTGGGCCTCTTTATTAGTCCCCTGAGAGGAGTGTGAGGTGTGCACGCTGGGCCCGGGCGACACTTCCCCCGACCCAAGGGAAACAGTGGCCCACGGGAAGGAAGGGCAGGGAGTGGGCACCCGTGGAGGAGGGGCCTCTGAGGTGTCTGTCTTCTCTCCAGCATCAGGGCTGAGCAGCTTCCCCGCCCAGGGGGCTGAGAGAGGTGGCCGCCTCCAGCCTCAGGTGCACTTTTTTTGCATAAGAAACCAGCTCCTTGAAGGAAGAAACAGGCAGGTCAGTTTTCATGGACAGTGACTTAATCCACCAGTCATGGACAGGAAACTTTAGAGAGGTCTGATTACTCCTCCCGTTTAAGATTAATTTTGGCCCAGTCGTAGAGATGGTCTAATAGGGAGGCAGGAGGGCAGTCTTGAAAACTACGTGTGGAGGTCAAGGTCAGTTCCATGCAAACATCTATTCCAGGCCCCCGGACGTGGTGCACCCCGGCTGGGGGCTTCCACCTGGAGGGAGGCCTGGTTTGTTAAAGGCTCTGCTGTCACTCACCTGGCTGGACGTGAAGCGCTCCTTGATCTCCTGGACCAGGGCCTTCATGCCACTGGACACTAGCTCTGGCAGGATCTCCTCTGCAGGTGGAGCAGAGAAGGTTCTGAGGCCAGAGCCCCTCCCATGCCCCTTGCTGGGAGCCCCCAGGAGGATGAGGGTGGGTCGCAGTCCCCCTTGGGCTTGGCATGCACAGATCCTGCAGTTCCAGAGCCCCATGCACCACCCTCAGCCAGGACAGTCCCTGCTGCTTGGAAGATGCCAAATGAGTGGGAAGTTTCCAAGGGCCGAGAAGTGGGGTTAAGCATGTCTTTCCTGTCAGGGGGAGTGGGGCACCTCTGACCGCTGGGCTCTGGGAGTTGTGAGGCAAGAAGGGGTTCTGACCGTAGGAAGCTAGGTGGACCAGCAGCATGGCCACGTTCTCCACCACCTCCGGGTCGTCCCTATGGAGCTGGTAGGTCTCCTTGATAAGACTGAGGCCGCTGCCACCCTCCTCCTGCACCACCACCTTGAAGGCCGCCAGCTCTGGGGGGTGGGAGAGAGTGGGTTCATGCCCCACTGTTCCCCTGAAAGGGAAGAGCCTTCTGCCCAGGACAGAGGATGGATCACCCCAGAGCTGGGACAGGACAAGAGACAGCCCCCAGGAGGCCCCATCAGCTTGGGTGGACCAACAGGCTAGCATGACCTGAACAGGACCACACAAGAGCAAAGGCGGCAGCCCCCCAGAGCCCAAGGGGTTCTTGTTACTCTGAGGAAGGTTGGGTAGTGCAGAGGTCGGGACCATCAGCCCGGAGTCTCCAGGCGCTCTGTGAAGGAATGAGCTGTGGATCAAGCCCTGACCGTGCTGTGCTCAGCGCTGGGCCCAGCCTGTCAGCTGAGGAACAGGCAGGCTTTGTGTTGGGAATTGGAGACACTGTCTCCAGGGCTGTTTTGATCAGTCACGGTGTGCCCGCATGTTGGGAAACCTGTGCAGATGTGATGTGTATATGGACAGAGACAAGGTCACGGGGTAGCATGACAGTTTATCAAGTGTGCATGGAAGTCTCTGGTGATTTCTGGATGACTGGACTTTAGATTGTTTTTAATTTATTTTCCTTTTTGATGTGTTGCTTCTGCTTTTTGGTTTGTGGCGCCTGGCAGATGTAACTGATGGGGGCTTTTTGCCTCCAACTCTAGGTGGCAGTCTCGCCCTGTCCCCAGGCTTACCTGACACCTTCACCAGGCTGGCCAGTCCCTGGTAGGCACTGTTCACCAGCCGGACTCTGTCCTGGCACAGCCGGACACTCTGCAGGAGCAGCGCCACCACTTGTTCAAACTGCTGCTCCTTGATGCAGCCTGCAGAAAGCCAGGCTGCCTTGTTCTTGTGTGTGTGGGGCCCACCCCCCGCCACACCCCAGGGGCCCCGGGTGCCCATCCAGCTCACCCAGCAGGGACAGCAGCCAGAAGACTGCACAGCTGGCTTCCGCCATTTCCGCATCCGCAGGGTAGGTGGCCAACACCTGGCTGATGAGGTCCGGGACCTCCTCCAAGGGACCCTTGTTCACAATGACAGCTGGAACCAGGACAGGGATGGAAAGGGAACACCCAGGCCTTTGGTATGTACAGGGGGGCCTTCCTACTCCCCATCCAGTAAGGACAACAGCAGAAATGGGATGGGGGAGGTCAGCTGTCCTCAGGGAGGGGAGGGGTTAGCCCAGGAAAGGTTCGGAGAATCCCGCGCTTTGGGTGCTAGCAGGGCTCTCGGGTTTCCTGGGCTCTCCAAGGTTTGGAGCCCTCTTTTTCCTGGGGCACTGGAATGCCAAGATGGGGTCTAGAGGAAGGGAAGCAGCACAGGCCGGGAGGCCCCCGATTGTGAATCAAAAAGCAAAACAGCATCCAGCACCACCGCTGCCCTCTGGGACCAGGACTGCCTGGGAAATCCCAGGATGTTTCCCTGGGCAGGAGGCACTTAAAATGGAAGGGTCTGCCCACTGGACAAGAAGTCCTGAAGTCCTGCCTCTGGCCGAAGGCCTTTCCTCCCCTGTCTTCCTGCTCCTTGATTTTCTTCTGCTGTAGTTTGACGCTCTCAGCCTTTCCCAGGCCATGGCTGTCCTGAATGTTTCAGGAACTGGACATGGAGGTCCCTCAAAGGCTCTTGGGGCAGTCAGGGAGTGGCTGGGGCAAGGCTGCCAGCCCTGGTGGGACAGCGGGACAGCAGGAGGAGGCCCCTCACCGTCCAGCAGGAGGGCCCAGAGCAGGCCCAGGCCGCTGACGCAGACGTCCCTCCTTTGGAGGGAGCTGTGCAGGTGCTCCAGTATGTGGTCTAGCAGCCCGGCGTTCTGCAGCTCCTCTGACACCGACTCTGTGGGTGGGCCAGAATCAGGGCCCCAGGGCCCCTCCCTCGAGGAAGCCTTCCTGCCTCTGTTGTCCTCGGGCACTACAGTCCCATTTGACCTGCCATCCTGGGTGCCTGCTCTGGGGCAGGTCTCATGCACTCGTGGAGCCCGGAACAGGAGGACATGGGACTGGCCCCCTAGAGGAATCTGTCCATCTCGTGGGCCACCGGTTCCAATAGCTGCCATTCCCACTACCAGGCTGGGTCTGACCTCAGTAGCTTCCCATCCAGGGTGCCTGGCCCTGCCTCCTGGGCTTACAGAGCTGGCCTGTGCCTGCCAGGATGGAACCATGACAGGGCCCTATCCCAGTAGGACAAGCTGACATCCATTTTGCCTGATGGTTCCAGCTGACATCTATTCCTAGTGCCTCCTTTCACTCCCAGAAGTAAGATCAATGATGCATGATCAGTTGTCAGGTCTGTGCAGTAAAGAGGGTGCTGGGACCCAGCCCTGACCCCTGCTGCATGGGACTCAGCAGCTGTCCTTGGGCTCTCTCCAAGGACCAGCTTCCTGTTCAGGGGAACAGTGCCCACCCATCTGTGGGTGAAGGTGTGAGTGTTCCGTATGGCCCTCTCCTGCCCACGGTCCTGGCTGGTGGCTTCGGAAGCCCACTGGGCCCTATGGAATGGAGACACACAGGGCATTTGCCCCCCAGCCTCCCAGAAGAGGCAGAAAATGTGTGAAGTACATGTCACTGGTGTGAAGCCCACAGCTGCGCCTGGCACATCTGTAGCCAGAACCAGTGACTTTAAGCATGGAAGCTTGTCATCAAGATGGAAAAGGACTCAACCAGCATTTGGGGTGGCCAACTGAAGACAGCCAAATGCCGATGTGCATCTGAGGAGGAGGCCCAGCACTGTCCTGTCCAACCCACCTGTACCCCAAACCATCCCTTCCTGAGACCCTGGGAAGGGCTGTCCTGGATAGTGGGTGGGGCAGGAGGTGGCTGGCTGGCAGCCGCACCCTGGGTTGTGGTGATGGCCAGCAGGCTGTAGACCATGACCAGAAGCTGCTCCTCCTCAGGGTGGCTCCGAAGACATCGCAGCAGGGTGGAGGTGATGGCTTGGTTGCAGGGAACCTTAGCTTCCGGGTCAAGCACCAGCGCTGTTAGGATCAGAGGAAGACATCTGGGGTTAGCCCCACAGCTGGGGCATGCAGCCAGACAGACAAAGCTCACAGGCTGGGGGACAGCATCTCCACTTTGCATGAAGGAAACTGAGGTCTGCCTTGTTCTCCTGGCCCAGAACAGGCCTCTGTGGATGCCTATGGCCTGATGGAGTAAAGGACTGGAGGGGAGCCCTGCCTGGCTGGGCCACGGATCCTGGTCCCCTGGAGCTGGCCAGGCAGCACTGAACACAATTTCAACATTGCTTGGAACTCAAAACTTCAACATTGATACTAGAAATGTGGCCATGCATGGTGGCTCATGCCTGTGATCCAAACACTTTGGGGGGCTGAGGTGGGAGGATCACTTGAGGTCAGGAGTTTGAGACCAGCCTGGCCAACATGGTGAAACCCTGTCTCTACTAAAAATACAAAAATTAGCTGGGTGTGGTGGCGGGCGCCTGTAGTTGCAGCTACTCAGGAGGCTGAGGCAGGAGAATCGCTTGAACCCAGGAGGCGGAGGTTGCAGTGAGCTGAGACTGTGCCACTGTACCCCAGCCTGGGCAACAAGAGCAAAACCCATCTCAAAAAACGAAAAGGAAACTAGAAAGGTAACAAAACACTTTTTGTTAAAAGATCAAATTTAGTTCAACTTTTTTAGCAACCCAAAGTCTCTGGTAGGAGGCTCGGGCTCTCAGCTCCAGCCTTGCCCATCAGGGCAGTGGAATGAACTCAGCACTGCCCTCCTACCAGCCCTCTCCAGGGGACACAACCACCCTCCCTGAGGGTCACAGCAGAGGACCTCGGGTCAAGCTCCTCTCTTCATACCTGGGAAACTGGCAAGAGCAACAGGAGCTTGTCCAGGGCTATGGAGCAGGCAAAAGGCAGGCCTGGGTGGGATCCACATCTCCAGCTCCTGGCCTGTGCCGTCTCTGCCATCTGGGATAGGGTCCCATGGGCACAGAGGGCATGGACTGTCTGGAGGGTCAGATACCAACCAGGTAACAAACAGGCAGGGGAACAAGAGAGCTGGGCCACCAGGAGCATCTCCCCTACCTGCCCTGGCCCCGGTGCCCACCTTGGCCCAGGAGACACAGCCACAGGGGGCAGTGGACAGCCTCCCAACCCCGCCTGGCCCGGTGCCCACCTTGACCCAGGAGGTGCAGCAGCAGGGAGCAGGCGCATAACTGGATGTCGAGGACCCTGTCGTGCAGCTCCATGGTTGTGAGCACCACTTCCACCAGCTCCGGGGGCCACGGCAGACCTGGCAGGACGGGCAGCACAGGGGAGATTCACTGTGGGGTCAGGTTGAGGGCATATAGACCAGACCAGGGCCCCCAGAGGTGGGTGGGAGTCTGCAGGGCCCTTGGTGGGTGAATAGAAGAGGGAAGGACAAAGGATTGGTGCTAGCTCCGTGTAGTGTGTGCCATGTCTGCCCTGGGCGTCCTGCTCTGCTGCCCACAGCTCTGTGAAGTGGGCGCTGCCGGGACTACCCTTGTGCAGATGAGGGACCTGGGGTCAGTGGGATGAAAGCATCTGCTCTTCAGCATTTGAACCCGGCCAGTCTACTCCAGAGCCCTTGGCTGCACCTGCCCTGAGGGTGGACATGGGTGGGCTCCGTCCACCCCACCACTGTGCCAGGAACTGTTGTGGGCTGGGGACTGGGCGCAGGGCAGTGGCCAGGCAGCCATCCCTCCACTGTAGGCTCACTAGAACAACAAGGAAGAAGTCCTGGCACCCAGAATGCTGAGCAAAGCAAGCCTGTTGCTTTTTTTTTTTTTTTTGAAGACAGTCTCACTCTATCGCCCAGGCTGGGGTGCAGTGGCATCACCTTGGCTCACTACAACCTCTGCCTCCTGGGTTCAAGCAATTCTCCTGCCTCAGCCTCCTGGGTAGCTGAGATTATAGGCAGGCACCACCATGCCTGGCTAATTTTTATATTTTTAGTAGAGACCTTGGTTTCACCATGTTGGCCAAGCTGGTCTCAAACTCCTGATCTCAAGTGATCCGCCCACCTCAGCCTCCCAAAGTGCTGGGATTGCAGGCGTGAGCCACCGCTCCTGGCTGCAAGCCCATTTCTAAGCAAGGCGTAGGGGGAGGTGTGGCTCCAGGTGGTGGGAAAGACCCACCCTTTGGGACGGGGCCCAACAGCTTCCCTGGTTTTCCCAGGGAGGCAAAAATCTCTCTTCCCAGGGACTCTGTCCTGGTCACAGCTAACCTCCAAAAGGGGTCGAAGAGGAGGAGGGGAGGGAGGGAATGGTAAATGGCCCATATGAGGCCTCTGCCACCTCTCTCAAGGCCAGGGCTGGGCCTTGTCACCTCTGAGGCCTGAGCCACTGCAACAAACCTCAGTGGATTCCTAATCCAGGTCGGATGGATAGATGATGGATGGGTGGATGTGTGAAGGTAATGTTCAGGCAGGTCAAAAAGGTCTAATGGAAAGATTTTATGAAAGCGGTTTTGGCACAAGCATTTTAAAAATTGGCCGGGTGCGGAGGCTCACACCTGTAGTACCAGCACTTTGGAAGGTGGAAACAGGCAGACCACTTGAAGTCAGGAGTTCGAGACCAGCCTGGCCAACATGGTAAGACCCCATCTCTACTAAAAATACAAAAAGTTAGTCGGGCATAGTGGCACACACCTGTAGTCCCAGTTACTTGAGAGGCTGAGCAGGACAATCACTTTAATCCAGGAGGGGGAGGTTGCAGTGAGCCAAGATCGCACCACTGCACTCCAGCCTGGGGACAGAGGAAGACCCCGTCTGAAAAAACAAAACAAGAACACTGCTTTCCTCAACACTCTCCATGAATGAGCAGTAACAATCCTTTTGGGTTTTGTTTGTTTTTTGAGATAGGGTCTTCCAGGCTGGAGTGCAGTGGTGCAAGCATGGCTCACTATAGCCTTGATTCCCTGAGCTCAAGCAATCCTCCTGCCTCAGCCTCTCGAGTAGCTGGGACAACAGACATGTCACCACACCTGGCTACTTTATTTTTTGTAGAAATGGGGTTGCCCAGGCTAGTTCTCGAACCCCTGGGCTCAAGCAGTCCTCCCGCCTTGGCCTCTCAAGGTGTTGGGATTACAGGCACGAGCCAGCCGCCAGGGCATGCATTCTTAATAGGTGGGCGAGTTGCTGTATCTAGAAAAATGTAAAGTATTCACACCCTTGAACATCTAGGAATCTGTGCTACAGAAACATAAGCGCACAGATACACACCAGGGTGTCCATTCTAGTGCCATTTATAATAGTGGAAACAGCAACAACTCAGATACCCGTCATAGGGATAGTGGGGTAGATGGGATGTCTACGGCCCCATTAAAATCATGTGAGGGCTGCCACCCCACCCCTTCCCTGCTGTCTTCCCCAGGCAGATAGCAGAGACGTGGGATGCTTCTGGGAAGGCATGCACACCTCCATGCTGCATGAAAGCAGCGGCAGGGAGAGCCCGGGGGGAGGCCAGCCTCAGCTCCCCACAGGCCGGGCCATGGGTCTGCCCTTCGTGGCGAAACTGGGAAAGGGGTGCGGGCTGGGGCCTACCTAGCTGATCTGCAGGCATTTTCAGAAACCTCTTCAAGGCCCTGAGCTGGACTTCGGGCCAGCTAGAGAAGTTCTGCATGACCTCTGCAGGGACAGGAAGGCAGGGGAGGGAACTTTCTGAGGACCAGGGCCTCGGGGCCTTGTCTCTGGGCACCACACTGGCCTGGCTGCTGTGTGTGCATCCCCTCCTGAGATCCACGGGTTCAGGACGAGAGGGAGGGGCTGTTACCATCCCACTTTACAGATGAGGCCACTGAGACCAAGTGACCTTTCCATAGTAGAACCCAAGCCTGTCTCGGAGTCCACAAATGGCGGAGCGCACTTTTGTTCATCCTGGGCACATGGGGGCACACAGGAAGTGATGCTGTGTGAGGAAGATGCCCCAGGACCACTGTGTGCCAGCCAGGCTGTGGAAGCAAAAGCAGAGGGTTGTGGGAGGCCCGGGCAGTGACTCGCCATTGAGCTACAGAGAGGATTTGTGCAGCAGGAGCAGGGGGGAAACGGGTGGGGGCCAAGCTACGGAGATGGACTTGGTGTTAGAGGTCGTTGGGAGCTATGGAGGGTATTTGAGCAGGGCAGTCCCCTGAGCAATGTGTAGGGATAGATGGAGGAAAACTGTTCCTACCCACTGGTTGTGCACGTGGAGCTAGGCCAGGGGCATAAATAATGAGCCTTCTGGAATGAAACAATAGGATGCCGAGGCCTCGGAGAGGAGCTCCAGGGCACACTCCCCCTTTGTGTCCCCAGCATCACCTAAAATGCTGGCCACGTTGCCTGCTAAGAGCATGTCGGTGAAGGACACAGGCAGCATCTGTCGGTGCAGGGTCAGCGAGATGCAGGAGGACTTGAAGGAGCCGCTCACGAAGGTGATGTGCACCACATCCCTAGCAGAGGAGCAGAGAGGGCTGAGTAACCCAGCAGCGCCCCCGCCTCCTCCCCACGCGGCTCTCTCTCTGCCTCCTACTCCATCTCTAGTAAACCCTGCCTCTATTAAAAATACAAAAATTAGGCCGGGCGCGGTGGCTTACGCCTGTAATCCCAGTACTGTGGGAGGCCGAGGTGGGTGGATCACGAGGTTAAGAGATCGAGACCATCCTGGTCAACATGGTGAAACCCCGTCTCTACTAAAAATACAAAAAATCAGCTGGGCATGGTGGCGCGTGCCTATAATCCCAGCTACTCAGGAGGCTGAGGCAGGAGAATTGCCTGAACCCAGGAGGCGGAGGTTGCAGTGAGCCGAGATTGCGCCATTGCACTCCAGCCTGGGTAACAAGAGTGAAACTCCGTCTCAAAAAAAAAAAAAAAAAAAAAAAAAATACAAAAATTAGCCAGGCATGGTGGCACGCGCCTGTAGTCCCAGCTTTTCGGGAGGCTGAGACCGGATAATCGCTTGAACCCAGGAGGTGGAGGCTGTGGTGAGCTGAGATACCCAAAGTGCACTCCAGCCTGGTTGACAATGCAAGACTCTGTCTAAAAAAAAAAAAAAAACCCGACCCTGAGCTCACTTTATCGTTATTCGATCTGAGGGGTTGATCTGGAGCATCAAGGGCAGAAGGTTCCGGAAGGTTTCTGCATCCGGGATTTGCTTCTCCTCCATTGTCTTCAGGATGCCCTTCAGGCTGCCTGGGCTCTGGCGGAGGGACTTTCGCAGATGCATGGCTTCTGTGCCCTGCATGGAGAGGGGACAGCTCTGTACAATCCCTTAAGTAAACGGAAACTGGGCCCTGGCATGGGCAGAGGGTGAACAGAGACCAAGAGATCCAGGAGGAGACCAGGAGAGCCAGGTGGAGCCGCCGCCTACAAGAATGCCCAGAGACCCCAGGGGCCCCGAGCTCTTCCATAAGAATGGAGTTTCAGAGAAGCCAGCTTGTTTCCTAGGGTAGAGTCCTGCCAAGAAATTCCCCGATCTAGACCCAGCCAGTGAGAGGGGCAGCATGCCCATTTCACAGAATATGACATGCCCGAGGTCACTCTGCCTGAGCTGGGGCTGCAGCCCAGACTATTTCCAGGATGTCACAAAGGCGGGAAGGCTCTCATTTCCCTGAGAGTCTTCCAAAGGAAGGGAGTACCAAGGTGCTTCTCAGAGGTGGAGTCTGCGGGTGTGGGAGAGCATGGGGAACCTGGGCCCAGCCAGGTGCCTGTGCTTTCTGGAGACCTCAGTGCCTGCACGTGGTGCTGTGGAGAAGGGAGCTTCCTTGTTCTGGGCATGGCAGGCCCTGGGGCCTAGTGGCCTGACTTCCCCACTTTGTTTTCTGCATATAGAGGATAAGAAGCAACAGGCTAGATTTCCCCACCTCCCTGTAACCAGAGTGACCTCGGAGTGCTTGTGGGGCCAGTGGGGTCCTCTGCCTCTCCTTCCTGCCCACAGGCTATGGCCATGGTGCAGGGGCCCCAGCAGGGATGAGAGCAAGAGCTGCATGCTAAGGCTGTGCAGGAAGAGGGAAGGCACCTCCACACCAGCCTGGGGCTTATGCATGAGGCGGTCCGGGTGTGTTCGGGCCCATGCTGGGTTCCATTGCTTGCAACACCGTGCAGCCTTCACGTTCACAAGGGCACCTGAACTTGGCTTTTCTCCATCAAGTCAACGACACCATATGGAGGCGGCTTTGAGGGTTGCATGGGATCATCTGAATACTCCCACTGCTGTCGCCATCCTGCTAGGGCCCGCAGGTGCTGCATGCTGGGGGGTTCTGAGGAGGGCGGGCCCCCATAGGTGGAGGAGGGGGCTCTGCACAGCCTGCAGAGAGCCCGGGGAAGGGATGTGGATGGGAGGCAGGATGAAACCAAGCCTTCTCCCCAGGCCTGGGCATGTGGGGAGCAGCATGTGGGGTGTGGGGGAGGGGTGGCTCACATCCATGAAGGAGCAGCTGGTCATGTCCAGAACGATGCAGCCCAGGGACCAAATGTCTGATTTCTGGCTAAAGGAGAAGTTGAGGGCTTCGGGGGCCATCCAGGACTTATGAAAGGGATCTGTTGGTAAGAGCAAGGTGGGATCCCTGAGTCCTTTGTTCCCTGAGAGCAGGGGCTTGACAGAGTCACCCTGCCCAGTCCTGTACCCCCTTTGGTGGCCCCCCGAAAGCAGCTTGAAACATGAGCCCTGCAGGTCCTCTTCTCATAAAAGGTGGAGAATATTAACTGGCGAGGAAGAGGCCCCGGTCAGCGGGAGCTTTGCATTGATCTGGAGCCACTGAGGCTGTCCGTCTTGGTGGATGCCCACCAGGCTGGCCCACATGCATGTGTGTGTCTCTGTGCCCAAGATGGCTGTAGAAGGAGTTGGAAGAGGCATGTGCCAAGAATGTGTGCACCCCTCTAAACTTCTTGCCCCTTCTAAATGTCAGGACCTTGGGCCAAAGTAACAGTTGCTCTGCCCTAGTTTCTAAACTGGAACCCCAGACAGGCAGGCAGAAGAGCAGGCTCCTCTGAGTCCATCAGTCCCTGGCTGACCTCAGGCAGCCCCTCCTCCCCTGGACCTCCATTCCCCAGCCCATCAGTAAAGGGCTGGACTCCAAGGACCTGTGCCATCTGCACCTCCAGTTGAACCAACCATCTGCCCATCTGTCCACCCATTCATCCATACACACCCCCATCCATCCATTCATACATCCACTCACCCACCCACCTGCCCACGCACCCATCCACACACTTATCCATCCATCCATCCACACCCACTCACCCACCTACCCACTCATTCACTCACTCACCCACCCACCCATCTGTTCACACAGCCACTCATCCATCCAATCGATCCATACACCTACTCACACATCCTTCCACAC